CCTGCCAAGCGGGGATGTAATCGGATTGTCGGAGGGTAATGGGAAGCAGATGCGGCGCTCCCGCTCGCCAGAGCATCCTCTCCCCAGCTTTTCCTTTGCTGGCGGGCCCGGAGCTGGGAGCCATCTGCATCCTTGGGCTCGAGCAGCACCCCGGCAGCCGAAGGGAACTCGATGGGGTGTGCAGAGACGGCCCTTTCTGCGGTCCCTGGCTGTCTTTTAACGGCCTCACAGAGCCGTCTTTGGAGGGAGAAGGGACAAGTGGGCCTGAAACGCCCTCCATACGCGAGGGGACGAGCTCTTGGTGCAGCACTGTCTCTCTAAGCAAACTCCCCACGTACATATATGTTTGTGAACATGCATATGCAGCCAGCAGGGTCTCTGTGTATCTCTTAGGAGGCGTGCAAGCGAAATATTAGCAAGCAAGGCCTAGGGTGAGCACCAGTGCCCCAAGATCTCCCCGTCCCGGTGAGAGACGGAGGTCTCGCTGCCCACACGTAGAGCAGCCAGACTCCCAGCGGGCGGGCGGCGCGCGAGCCGTGCGTGCAGCGGGGACGGCAAAGAGCCAAGGAGGAGAGGGGCTTCTGGGGGACAGAAAGAGGAAAAGCCCGTGGTCATTGTACTTTCTCGGGAATTACAGTGGGGGCACGAGTTCTCATCAAAGTTGTCAAATTTATTGAATATGAGCACGAGGAAAATGCAACGTAATCAGGTTTCAAAATCAATCAGAAATGCGCAGGTTGGATGTTAAGGGGAAAAACCAGCCACAAACCGTACAGCAATCTTTAACCTCCTGATACCTGTCTCACCACCCTCATAGCGGACTCTGGGCAACAATATGTCCTTTCCTGGAAAACTACTGCCACGACTCAAAACCTGCATTTCCCCAACAGGTCTCCTCCTTCCTGAGGAATCCCACCACCATCGGAAGCACTCGGGAGACTCCTGGGGACACAGACTGCACCACCTCGCGACTAGGAGCCTTCTGTCAGCGTTGGGAAGCGGCACAAAGTTGAAAGGCGAAGCCACCGCTCTACTGAGGACGTCGGGAGAGGGCGCGCGGTCGCCAAAAGGTAGGAGTTCAGCGTGTGTTTCGCGAAATCATGTCACACTTGAGGACAACACGTATCCAGAGCACACACTGTTCTGTAGGGTCACGCAAACCGAGCAGTTTCTGAGGCTGTCCTCGACACGATGCTATGGTGCAGTACAGGCAGGCAGCGCTGTGCTCTTAGAAAACTCTCATAGACATCCTACAAGATCCAGTGAGGCAGCAGGGAATCTCTTCAGTTCTGCAGTTCGTTCGAGTCGCAAGGGAATCCCGTGCTGATGTAATCGGGAAGAAGTCAGACAGGTGCCTGGATTTTGAGAAACGGATGAGGGTAGTAATCCGAAGGGAGCCGACAGGGCTTTGAGCGCCTTCCGAACGCGCCGCAATTCCCGTCGCCGTTGTGCTGATTCTGCTGGGGGGCCTGCAGCAGGGCAGGAAGCTTCTTTAGAAGCGGGACGCGTGGGAGGCAGTCTCAGCATGCAGGAGGCACCGGCCTTCGCGCACAGACGCGAGGAGCCGAACCAGCGCGTGCTCTGCCAGGGCCGGGCGTCCCGCGCAGCGCGCGGTGCTGGTGCGCCACATGGGGCCGAGCCCGGGGCGAGGGGCACGCGGGACCCGCCGTGGCACTTCGTGGGAGCTGGCTCGGGCAGAGACGGTCAGGACCGGGTTTGGTCCGTGCCGGGGAAGGCGCCTCCGCGGGCAGCGTGCGGCAGTTGTCAGCAATCGCATTGAGGTTGTACGGGGTTCTCTCTCTCAATCCCAACCAACGGCCAGGTTGAGAGCATCTCTTGGTCTCTACGCACATCGTCCCCGGCCTGTTGGGCATATTCAGGCACCCAGAATTGTTGCGTTCCCAGAGCGATAGTGAGACAGCTTTTTGTCCAGGGAATTGGCAAAAGAAAGGAACAGGACAGGATCTGGCACTCTGCAATAGGGATGACTCCGTGGAGAACTATTTGGTTTTTTCGCTGTCGCCGTTAGGCACTGTCCGAGGCTCGCAGCCGTTGGACTCCTTCTCTCGCAGCTTGCGCACGTAGTCGTGCGGGCCCTTGCCCTCGAAGGAGCTCGGGCTTTTGTAGGAGCCGCCGATTTTATCCCAGAGCGTGAAATACTGACCGTAGTTGTAGTCGAAGTACAGGTGGTGATCGGTGTGGTGGGCACAGCCGTTGATGACGTGCCTCAAGATCTTGGGGACGCGGTAATTACCGTCGTGAATGGAGATGGTCCACACGTTGACAAAGATGTAGAGACCCAAGTAGGTCACTTTGTGCAGAGGGAAGAGGAAGGGGTAGACGTGGTAGGGGAGGCTCTGCATGAAGCCGTCGACGGGGTGGAAAGCGTGACTGGCAAAGGGCGTCGCAATCTTCCAGAGGTGATGGGGCTTGTGGAAACGCTGTGCAAAAAGAAAGCAGAGTCGGTTGCCCGAGTCCAATTAGCTGTCCCGGGCCGGCTGTCCAGCCCAGCGCCGTTTCTGCCCCGTTCTCCCTGCGTCAGGATCTACAGGGAGATCCCTCTCGCTGCAGGGACAGGCCGCAGGTTGTTCCGAGCCCCAACAGGCCTAACAAAAATAGACAGGCTTTTGGGAATGCTCTTTCTACTCTGGTGTCATAACTGTGGTGCTGGAAGGAGGGGCCGCATGTAAATGGCCCATGAGGCAATGGTCAGGGTCACGCTAAAGATGACGGTGCAGTTGGCAGCACAAGAAGCGAAAGATAAAGCACAGGCCTGGCATGGAAAATAACATTAGTGGCATGTCCTTGCGGCTAGGAAGAGCTCGGCCTGCCGCGGCTGACCGCAGCGCAGTGCCGGGCAGGAACCTGCTCCATGGCTTTAGGGACAGCAGCTTCAGCGACACGCTGCATCCCGAGGACCCGAGGGCGAGGGTGGCTGCTCGCGGCGGCCAGGGGACAGGGTATGTGCAGAGGCTGCATGTGCAGTGTTGTGCGTAACGAGGGGGAAGCAGCTGGGCAGCTTGGGACAAGGGCTGAAAAGCCCTCGTTCTGCCTTGGGGGCCGACTACTTCTCCCCGTGTGATGAGGCCCAAGGCCAAAACCCGGTAACTGTTCGGCTCGGCCGACCGTGCGCTGCCACGGTCGCTCCTGCAGATGAGCAACGTCTCCTGAGCTCAGGTAGCAGGGACGGCTCTGAGGCGGAGCGCGCAGGAACGTCTCCTACCTTGTAGAACAATCTGTGGTGGAGGAATCGATGTATCCAGTAAATGCCCATGTCGGTGAAGAGGAGGAAAGACAGCATGCTGAGAATAACTCCTGACCACCCTGCAGGGAAACGCGCATTAGTGGAGCTTCACTTAAGAGACATAGAGCTAAGACTGGCAAGGACAAACCGAGGGTAGGGGAGCTCATAGGCCTGTAAAGGAGAGGTCCTGGGAAAAGATGATGCTCGCAAAAAAAGGCAGAGCATTTCTCCTTAGCATGGCTCTTGGTTTTCTTGGGAGGTATGCGTACAGGCAGGGCAGGAATGGCAAGGAAATATGATGGGAGTTGCGGGAGCCAGGGTAGGACAAGGGAGGGCTGCATCTGAGCGAGCCAGCCTGTCACTGTGCCTGAGACAGCGGTGTCATCACGCTTGTCGTGTCAGCCCAGGGGTTAGTTGGAACATGCTCCTTTCTGAGGACTGCCACAGTCAGGGGATGGGCAGGTGGACTCCTCGGGGCCTGTATGAAGTGTGAGCTGGTCCTTGGCAGCTGAACACCTGCTCTGTGGGGAGCTGAGGGAGATGGCATTAGCTTACAGGGAGAAAATAGGAAGGGCACAAAGCTGGCGTGTGCGGACAAAGGGCACAAAGCTAGTGATGTAGGCAGGGTCGTGGGGAGCTCCTTACCATACGGGGAGTCCTCGATGTTGTCGTAGAGCTTGCTGTACCCCCTGACCTCCGCGAAGAAAAGGGCCACGGTGGGCACGCTGATCCACGGCAGGGACCGCACGGCGTAGGCGATCTCGCGCTGCACCTGGTTCTGAGGCAGGAAGCGAGCAAGGATGGATATGAAGGCAGGGAGCGCGACAGGGACCGCGCGTGCAGGCGCGAGGGACGCAGCCCCGACCCCTCCACGTGTTGTCAGGCCAGGCGCGAGGGCGGTTCGGCCCTGCTGTGTGCCACGGCGGCTAGCGCGGAGCTTGGCATGGACCGGGCGCAGGGGAATGCGGGACAGTCCTGGCGTCAGCCTCTCGTGGGTGTTGGAGGGGGTCAGGTGCGCGCCGCTTGCGGCAGCGTCTTGGGAAACGCGGACAGGGCACGTGCTGGGGCAGGAGCGC